TTTTTTTAAGAGAATAGAATAGAAAAGAAAAAACTTCATTACAAAATGTATGGGACATAGCCAAAGCATATATCAGAGGACTGGCAATAACATACGTAGGAAAGAGAAATAAAAAGAAAAGACAAGCTCAAAAAAACCTATCATGTTTCCCTGAAAATAAGACCCTGTCTTATATTTTTTGAACCCCGAAATAAGGGTTTGGCCATATTATCGGGGGGGGGGTGTCTTATTATTTTGGGGGTGCAGGAGACAGCAAGTATGACAGCACAACAGAGCCGCTTGTCAACTATTCGCTGGGGCAACTAAAGGTGGGAATCTCCCCAGCGTTCTTGGCACTTCCCCGCCTCCCATCCATCCATCCATCCCCCTCGCCTGCAAACTCCCGCCCCACTCCCATCTCTCTGCTGGGCGACCCCCGGCAGTCCCAGACGTCCAAAGCCTGCACCCGCCTGGCTCCCTTTTCCACAACACCCGGCCCTTTATCGAGGGGGGTGGCATGTGGGGCGGGAGAGAAGATGTGTGGAGCGAGACGGGGCTTGCTCCTCTTGCTGTCTCTTTCCCCCCCCCCGCAAGGGGCCGGGGAGACGTGAGACACTCGTTTTACCTGCCTTGCAGCTCTGTCACGTGTCTCGCTGTTGTCTGCAGGCAAACACATAGGGTAAAACCAAATTTCTCGCGAGTTCGAGAAGTTTGATTGAACTCACGAGTTTTTTTTACCCTACGTGTTTGCCTGCAGACAACGGCGAGACACGCGATGGAGCTGCAAGGCAGGTAAGATGGCTCCGCACACCCCAATGGTACCTTAACAGCAGCCTGGCTTCTGCCCTTTCCCGCCGTGTCTTTGTCGAGGGGGATGGCAGGTAGGGCGGGAAAGAAGGGACATGCGTGGAGCGTGACGGGGCTCCTCTTGCAGTTTCTTCTCCCCCTCTCACCGGGCATGGCAGGGCTTCCTGCCCCAATTGGATGCAATTTGGGGGTGGCAGGTGGGGAGGGGTGGGGCTGGGGAGACATGAGACTCGTGTCTTACCTGCCTTGCAGCTGTCACGTGTCTTGCCGTTGTCTGCAGGCAAACACGTTGTAGGGTAAAACCAAACTTCTTGTGAGTTCGAGAAGTTTGATTGAACTCATGAGGTTTCTTTTACCCTACAACGTATTTGCCTGCAGACAACGGCAAGACACGCGATGGAGCTACAAGACAGGTAAGACACATTTCACGTCTCCCCAGCCCAACCTTTCCCCACTTGCCATCCCCAAATTGCATCCAATTTGGGCAGGGACAGGAAGCCCTGCCATGCCCAGCGAGAGGGAGATAAGAGACGGCATGATGAACGACCCGTCTTGCTTTATGCGTCTCGCTTCTCCCCCACACCCCTCAATAAAGAGCCACTGTGGAAAAGGGAGCCAGGTGGGCACAGGCTTTGGGCGTCTGGGGCTGCCAGGAGTCGCCCGGCGGAGAGACGGGAGCAGGGCGGGAGTTTGCAAGCAATCACTTCCCCTTTGCCTTCTCTCCCAAAAGTGCTCCTCAGGCGCAGCCACTTCTGCAGGAGACTCGCGCCTCGTGCCAGCCTTCCAAAGGGTATCATAGCAGCAGCTATCCACAATTTGTTAACCTTTATTTCGCCCCGACCCACATAGCCCAGTACGGTCGGGATGAAATAAGTGTAAAAAAATTGTGGATAGCTGCTGCTACAGTATCCTTCAGAAGGCCGCTGTGAGGCACATGGGGCGCATCACTTGGCCTCCTGCTGCAGAAGTGGCCGCAATCCATGGCAAAAATGGCCGTCCTTGCTGGAGGGCTTATTTTCGTGGGAGTGTTAGAAAAGGGGGAACTTAAAATGAAACAGGATTTGGAAAAGCAGGGGATTGATATGGTATGATATACACAACTGCAAATGCAATCTAGATATAAAAAAGATGCAAAATTATATGGTTTTCATATGGAACTGACAGAATTAGATAAGATATTAACAGGAACAGATGAAGGAATGATAAGAAAATTATATAGCTATTATCGAATTAGAAGAAGAAGAAGTTAAAGAAACAATGAAAGCATGGGCAAAAAACATTGGACATATGATAGAGCTAGATAAATGGCAGCAATTATTGGATAGAAATTATAAGATAACAATGTCTACTGCATTCAAGGAGAATTTGCACAAGATGTTTTATAGATGGCATTTTTCACCTGAAAGACCGGCAAAAATGTTTAAAGATAAATCAACTAAATGTTGGAAATGCCATCAGACACCGGGATTGGATGTGGTGGACATTGTAGAAGCAAAAAAATACTGGGCAAGAATTCGTATGTGATTGGAGAAGATGACGCAGCAGTATATTGATTTAAAACCTGAGATATTCCTGTTGGGGATTTTACCAGGGAATTATAGTAGATATTGTATACTTGATTATTCAGGTAATAACTGCGGCTAGAATTGTATTTGCACAGAATTGGAAAGGTGAAGAGATTCCTGCAGTTGAAAACGTGATTAAGAAAATATTGGAATGTGCAGAAATGAATAAATTAACACTCACAATTAAAGGGAAGGAAGAATCCGATTATTACAATATATGGGATTTATTTTATCAATGATTAGAGAATAAATATGAAAGTAATGTACAGTAAAGTTAAATAAGAGAAATGTTATAATAGATATGTTAAGTATTAATATTAATATAAGAGTAGATATAAATAATGAATATGGTGGTATGCTTTTACTGTTATGACACAAAAAATTTGTACCCAGACGACACACTGTTTAATAAATGATGGAATGTTTTGTATTAAAAGAAAATAAAAAATTAAAATAATAATGAAGGATAAATAAAAATATTATATAAATATTTTTCAATTCCAATATTTTCAATTGATTTAGTTCTCAGTTAATAGAGCCATAAATCAAAGTAATTCTAGAATTCTAAGTACATAAACAAATTATACTAAGGAGAATCAAGTACTGCTAAATGATACACACCTGATTTGAAAGATGACTGGAAAACAGACGTAGGATGTGAAACTGTTCAGGTAAGTGCTGGGTTCGAAAGGAAGCAGTTCTTAAAACAGTGATCCAGTGCATGTTGGAAAGTTTAGATAATTACATCAGCTGCTGTAGTGCATCATTAGTACATTATTAGTACATCAGATATATGAAGTATTGCCTTCATTTTAGCCAAAGGTGAGCAGAATTATTATCTATAAAGAATAAGACATGCAAAGAAAATGAATAAATCATATTGGCTTAATGTTTAATACTGCAGCAAAGATGCAACATAATTACAGAGCAAAATAAAGCCTGGGAGGCAACATTTACATTCATTGATCACACACATAACTTTTTGACTCTTCCACTATAGAGCTTAAGAGGTATACCGAATCTATTAGGAAGATTAGGTCAAGGTATGATTAGCATAAGAATCACACAATAAACTTTATGACACAGTACAGTTTAGGTCTGGTATAATTATCACTCTTACTGCCAATACTAAAGAGATGAGTAACTTAAAGTACCTAACTTCTTCGTTGCAGCCCACACAGCCTCTATTGATAAAAATTAAGGGCGGGATTTCCCGCCATTTTGAAGCAGGAAACACACTTTTAGACACAGGAAGAAAAAAGATCCATTGAAATTACCTCTCCAAAGAAAAATCATGCCCAGGGGCGTGCTAAATCCCACGAAATTTGCATCACTTCCTTGTTACAAGCTATGCCGATATAAAAGGATTGCTCACTTCTGCAGTAGCCGAATCTTACAAACGTTGTATAATGTTAATCAGATTAAGGAATCGAGCGAGGCAAGAATGGCTACTAACGCCCAAATGCGTTTTTTGAAAAGTTAAACTGCCGTTTCACAAAACGACAAAGGGCTGTGCAAGTAAAAGTTCTAAGCAAGCAAGAATTTCCTTACCATATCACCATTCTCTAAAGTTCCCATAAAGTGCACGAATTGTTCAAAGGAAATTTTCTAAACCAATGAGAAAGTCCCTCTCGAAGAAAAAAGCTTAGGTCAACTTCATAAGACGACAGTATATTCCTCACCGGAAGTAAATCGTTTTCATTTTCCCAGTCACAGATTTAAAATGATAAACCAGTTTTGCTCAACCTTGGAAAAGTTTAAGATAGGCAGATTTCAAAGCCCAGAATTCCCAGGAAGCATACTGGCTGGAGAATTCTGGGAGTTGAAGTCCCCCTATCTTTAAGTCACCAAAGTTGAGAAATACTGCAGTAAAGTAACCATTTCACCCACCCTGCTTCGGTCTTCTGACATACGTTTCTGTTTATTTTAAATTTAAAAACTTAAACTAAAAACTCGGTTTCTTCTAATGCTACAGAAATGACACGTGCCATGAACACGTGGACAAACACAATCGTTTGAAGGTTTGCAACTACTAGAGTCTATTTAAAGCATAAAGTAAAAGCAAACCGCGTAGCGCGCGTTCCTTCAGCTTCCAGGTTTAGACTTGAGAGTATCCGACCAGCAGAAAGGCGCTACCGGGGGCGGAGAAGCCCCTGGTCGCTTTGAAAAAAGGCCGGGGCCTACCTAACCTTCCTTCCCACTCCCCGGGTGCCTCTGCAGCCAGCAAGCCCTTCCGACGCCTCGGAGCCTGCCCTTCCCGAGCGCTGGGGTGGGGGTGAGGATCGTTTTCCGGCTTCCGACTCTTCAGAGGCAAGATGGCGTCGAGCAGTGGGGTAGGTGATCGGTTTGTGTTTTATTCCCCCAAAGAAGGGAAAATACAGTTTCTGTTCTTGCTCATTTGCTGAGAATCGTAACGCAAAGTTGGTAAGGCCTTCCGTATAATTTCATCGGCGGAGATCTGGAGCGCCTCCTGTTTTTGAGGAACGTAAGAAAAGGTCCGACTTCAACTCTTGATAGGTTTGGCTGTGTTCTCTCCGCATGTCTGTAGCTGGGACCCCGAGGAGCCTCTGTAGGCTTGGCCATAGTCACACCAGCATTTTGGGTGATACAGTAGCCTCACGGACGGAAATGGGGAACCTCCCAGGATAAGACGATAAGGTGATAGGTTTCTTCGTTAAAGGAGGAAAATAAAAGGTTTGCTCCTGTGGCATGCAGACTTCATGGTTGCATACTCACTCTTGGATCCTGACTCCACAGCATCTAAAGGTGGCGATTTCTTTAATTTTAAATTATTTTTGTGCAAACAACTTGATTTTATTGCTTATGAATCTCCTTTTATTGGATATCACTTTATATGTGTGGGAGAAAAGTAGGGTCCACAGGTTTATGTAAGGTCATTGGCAGTTTTATTTTTAGTTACTTTTCTGTTGATTTCAAGTATGACATTAGCCACATAGTGGGTTCACTTCTAATGATAGACATCCGCTTGAACAGTGCACTAAGCTAAAATTTTAAACCATATAGAGTAAATACAGGTAGTCCTCAATTGTTCACAACAGTACAGAAAAAAGTGACTTATGACAGTTTTTCCCACTTATGACCATTGCAGCATCCCCAGGGTCACATGATCAAAATTTGGATGCTTGTCAACTGTTATTTATGACAGTTGCAGTGTCCTGGGGTCATGTGATCGATAATAATAATAATAATAATAATAATAATAATAATAATAATAATAATAATAATAATAATAATAATAATTTTATTTCTATACCGCCCTTCTCCCGAAGGTCTCAGGGCGGTGTACAGCCAATTTAAAAACACAAGACAAAACAATGATTAAAAATTAAAATAATTAAATAGATTTGGCCCGGTTTAAAACCCCGAAAATTTAAAATACCCCAATTTAAAATTATTATGTTGATAGCCCGGCCTGGCGGAACAACAGGGTCTTCAGTGCGCAGTGAAACACCCGGAGGTTGGAGATCTTACGTATTTCTGGGGGCAGTTCATTCACAGGGCTGGGGCTCCCACAGAGAAGGCCCTCCCCCTGGGTGTCACCAGCCGACATAACTTGGCTGATGGCACCCTGAGGAGACCCTCTCTGTGGGAGCGAACTGGCCGGTGGGAGGCTATTGGTGGCAGAAGTCGGTCTCGAAGGTACCTGGGTCCTGTGCCATGGAGCGCTTTAAAGGTGATGACCAACACCTTGAATCGCACCTGGAAGACCACTGGGTCACCTTTTGTGACCTCCTGACAAACAAAGTCAATGGGGAAACCACATTCACTTAACAAACATGTTACTAACTTAAAACTACAGTGATTCACTTAGCAACTGTGGCAGGAAAAGCTATAAAATGGGGCAAAATCCATTTAACAGATGTTTCAGTTAGCAGCAAAAATTTTGGGGCTCAATTGTGGTCATAAATCAAGGACTACCTGTAAAGTTATAGAGAGTTGGCATATTGTATTAAGTAAGAAACAATGGTTTACAGATAACAGGAACTGGGTTCATACATTATGAAGCCACAGAAATATAAACTACATCAGGGGTCCCCAACCTTTTGGACCTCAGGGACCACCAAGTTCATAATTTTAAATCCCGCAGACCACTAATATGAATCCAGTGCGCCGCTTGCTGAAGCGCCTGGATTCCCAGTGACAGGATGGGGTCCTTCAGGCACTCTCCCTCTTCTTTCTTTCTCTCTCCTTCTCTCATTTTCTCTTTCTCTCTCCCCCCCCTTTCTCTCTCTCCCACGCATTCTCTGATTCCCTCTCTGTCTCTTTCTTTTTCTCTCTTTCATTCTGTCTCTCTCTCATTCTGTCTCTCTCATTCTCTGATTCTCTCTCTCTCTCTCTTTCATTCTGTCTCTTTCTCTTTCTGTCTCATTCTCTCTTTCATTCTTTCTCTTTCTCTTTCATTCTCTCATTCTGTCTCTCATTCTCTCTTTTTCACTCTGTCTCTTCTCTTCATTCTCTGTCTCTGTGTGTGTCTCATTCTGATTCTCTCTCATTCTCTGATTCTGTCTCTTTCTCTCTCTCATTCTCTCATTCTGTCTCTCTCTTTTTTCTCCCCCTCTCTCATTCTCTTTCCCCCCTCTTTCTCTCTCTCTTTTATTGTCTTTCTCATTCTCTCTCTCCCCCTCTCTCTTTTTCTCTCTCTCATTCTCTTTCTCCCCCACTCATTCTCTCTCTCTTTCTCTGTCCCCCCTCTCTCCTTTTCTCATTCTCTCTCTCTTTCATCCTCTCTCTCATTCTCTCTGTCTCTTTCTTTCTCTCTTTCTCTCTCATTCTCTCATTTTCTCTTTCTCTCCCCCCTCTTTTCTACTCATTATCTCTATGATTCCCTCTCTGTCTCTTTCTTTTTCTCTCTCTCATTCTCTCTCTCTCATTCTTTCATTCTGTCTCTTTCTCTCTCCCCTTCTTTCTCATTCTCTCTCTCTTTCATTCTCTCTCTCTCGTTCTGATTCTCTCTCTGATTCTCTGATTCTCTTTCCCTCTCCCATCTCATGGGCCGTCTCATGTGTCTTGGGGCTGATTGGAAGTCAAGCACCTCCCCGAGAGATCGAGGTGCGCGGAGCATCAACAAGGGCCGGAAGAATCGGCTGTGAGATCCAGCAAGAAACAAAGCTTCACTCTCACTCTGGAATATGGAGTGAATCTCCATCCCCCGTCCCTTTTCCTTGCCAGGCGAGGAGTGACTGGGAAGGGAGGGCAAGGGGCGGGGACAGCCACTGTTGGTTAGCCGACAGGAAGCTACAGCAGGGGGGAAGAAACAGCCCGGGGTTGCCACCACCCATTGCTTCGGCCTGCCTGCGCCGCCCCCCCTTGCACCATTGCCTCATTCCGGCCGGCGAGGGCTGCGTTGCAAAGTTGCAAATTGCACAAACCTCCCTCTACAGCGGAGATTTACAGCCCCACCATGAGCTGCCTTGCCAGTCCCATATTCCAAAGCTCTAGTCACAGGACTGGCCATTGCTCATCCTGGAGCAGCTCCTCCACCCTGGTGCGCCGCAGACCACCAAAATTTTCTCGTGGACCATCAGTGGTCCACGGACCACCAGTTGGTGACTACTGAACTACATTATCATGTAGTCTATATGCAGTACCAAAAAGGTTGGAAAATAACATGAATAGGATCATTGTGTGCTCTCTGCTCATTTTATCTCAAAAAGGATATTGTAGAATGAAAAGACAAGAAAATACTAAGAAATTTGACTCATATTATTCAATAAGCAGTCTATTTCTAGATGGCACATGTATCTTTCTTAGGCTTATCAATGCATAATGGCCCTGCTTGTACACATGCAGACACCAAGAGCTATTTATGAAGGAGCCACATGAGCCTAGAACAACTACCTGCTTCATTGATGCAAAGAAATATGCTATGTGCATGCTTCTACACTTTGGGAAGCAATTCTTTCGAAGGATTTGAGCCACCCTAGTATAATACTGTAAGGGAATGTTATGGCTCAGTGGTTAAAGATGCTGAGCTTGTCAGCTGGAAAGCTGGCAGACTGGATTCAAGAGCTGAGCACTGCATGACGGGGTGAGCTCCCGTTCCTGCCACAGCTCCTGCCCACCTAGCAATTCAAAAGCATTGAAATGTGAATATATTAATAGGTACCACTGTTATCTTCAGTGGGAAGATAACAGCATTTTATTGCCTTTGGCGTATAGCCATGCTGGTCACATGACCATGGACCATGAAATGTCTTCGGAAAATGTTGGCTGAAATAGAAATGAGCACTGTGCCCTAGAGTTGGATGTGACTGGATAGAGAAACCTTTACCTTTCAGTATGGTACTGTATATGTGCGCACTTAAATCAGAACACTACCTCATTGACCTACCTCAAAGACGGGACCCAGAAAGGTGGGGATCCCGGAGTCGAGGGGGGAGTCAGAGTTTGTCCGGATAGTTCTTTGAACATCAATACTGTGGGTGGGAGGGATAGATATGGTGGGAGCAGAGGGCCATATCGAGTTAGGGGAGTGCGCACTCGCTGTTTACAAGTGGTGGCGCGCTCCGGCCCCCAAGGCTCCACCTGTTCCCCAGGTTGCACAGACCCTCAGGGCCCGGGCCTTCGGCTGATGTTGTGCAATGCCAGGTCCATAGTAAATAAAGCCCCCCTCGTTTGTGAACTTGTTCGTGAAGGGGGAGTGGACCTGGCAGGCATTACGGAGACCTGGTTGGGCCAGGAGGGGGGGTTTCCCCTCGTTGAAATGTGCCCACCAGGTTTCCACGCATTCCATCGGCCGAGGTCACAGGGCAGGGGCGGGAGGGGTAGCGATTATCATTAAAGAAGGTCTGAGACCGAGGGAGGCCACTGTTCCTCAGACGGCCGGCTGTGAGTCCCTCCTTGTGAAGTGGAGTCATGGGGTTCAGATGGGTTTGCTGATCACGTACCTGGCTCCCTGCCACGTGGCAGCAGCCCTGCCCGAGCTACTCAATGTTATCGCCGTGGTGGCGGTTGATACCCCCAGACTTATGGTCATGGGGGATTTCAACCTGCCGTCCGTGGGTGAGACGTCGGAGGTGGCTCAGGAGTTCATGGCTTCCATGACAGCTATGGACCTGACCCAGCTAATTCATGGCCCTGCCCACATGGGGAGGAAACATGCTGGACCTGGTTTTTGTCTCTGGACAGTGGTTGAATCATCTTGAGATAGGGGATATAGTCACCGAGTCCTTGTCATGGTCGGATCACTCTCTCCTTCGCCTTGACCTTCGAACCGCTGCACCCCGCCGCAGGGAGGCGGAGATGGTAAGATGGTTCTGCCCCAGGTGCCTGATGGAACCTGATAGGTTCCAGATGGAGCTTGGGCCATTCCCTGAGGCTCTGGCACACGCCTCAACTAGTGGCCGCCTGGGATAGGGTGGCCGCTGGAGCTCTGGATCGGGTTGTGCCTTTGCGGCCTCTGACCCGGCGCCGATCTCACCTGGCTCCTTGGTTTACCGAGAAGCTGAGGGAGATGAAGCACCGGAAAAGACGCCTAGAGAGTAGTTGGAGGGCCAGTCTTTTTGAATCCGACTGGACACTGGTAAGATCTCATATTAAGAATTATCTAGTGGCAATAAAAGCAGCAAAACATACATATTTTGCCGCTCTTATTGCGTCATCAGATAATCGCCCTGACGCCCTGTTTAGGGTGACCCGCTCCCTGCTCCACCAGGAAGCGCGGGAGGACCCCTTGGAGGGTAGAGCCAAGGATTTTGTTCAGTATCTGTATGACAAAATCACTCAGATTCGGGAAGGCCTGGACT